TATTTATATATTTTGATATATTTATATGTTAGATGTGAGTATGTGTTCGAAGGTGAAAGTGTGTGTCGAGTAAGTTTTTAATATTTTGATGTCAAATTTGTGAGCGGGTCTTTTTATATTTTATTTATTTATTTTATTTTAATTTATTCTTTTTATCTTTTTTCTTCTATTATTTAATTAAAATTCTTATATTAAAATGTTTTTTTCAATAAAAAAGTATTTAATTTTTTAATTAAATTAAATTAAATATTTTGATCTTATGATTAAATTAAATTATTAAATAAAAAAGTATTTAGTTTTTTAATTAGGTGAATAATTAATTTATTAGAATATATTTAAAATAAAGTAATTATTATATAATTTTAAATATTTAATTTTTTTAATTTAATATTGATTTTTAAAAATATACTTTAAATTCATCTGTAATGTTTGTCTGTAACTAATTGTTAATTTACTGATCGGTATATCCGTTGTAACTAATTGTTTATTTACCAAAATGGTTAATTTATAAACGGATATATTCGTTGGTAATTAATTGTTCATTTACCGACGGATATATTTATTGATAAATAATTATTTATTTATCGACTGGATAAATAATTGTTTATATACCGACAGATATATCCATCAGCAATTAATTATTCATTTACTAACGGATATATTCGTCGATAAGATCAAATTTCACAACTATTTTACATCCATTGATAATTTATGTCGATAATCAATCATTTTCCGACAGCTACATATCCGTCTGTAATTAATAATTTTATTGTACTTGTTTAAATTTGTAATAAAAAAAGATTTGTGAGTAATTTACAAGAGGTGGAAGTAGTGTTTCTCATCTATTACGGGTGATGAAACTCGTTCAAAATTCAGTAAAAAAATTATGTAACGTATAATTTTTTTAAATGTAATATAATTATTTATTTAACTTAATTAAATTATTTAATTAAGTTTAAATAATAAACTATATTTTTATAAAAAAATAATTGATTAGTTAAAATTAGAAAAATAAAATTAAAAAGATAAAACTACAATTTAAAAAAAATATAAAATAAAAAAATCAAATTTTATCTTTAGAAGCCTAATTTTACTCATTAATACAAATATAAACATTAGATCATCTTGATGCTTATTTTACGGGTTTTTTTTTTTTAACGTTTTTGAATTTGATGAGATATTCTTATATTGACAAGTTATATAACATAGGGTTGTGTATCATTCGTAGTATGAGAAAAAATGGGTAATATTTCATATATGAATGCTTATAAGAATTTAGATATAGAAAAATAACCTATAAGTCTTAATAGAATTTTATTTTGTGATAATAAGATTTTAAACTTAATTCTAACAAATCGTAAATTAATATTGATTTGTATTACTTTTATGATCATAATTAACTAAATTGATTGGGTTATAGAAGAACCCTTAACTCTCAAAAAAGAGTCAGAATATATTGAGTTGAATTTCAATATCATAAATTATAATTTAACTATTGATTTGTATTGTTTTTATAATTAATTATAGTTGAATTATTAATTTATATTATTTTGTAACTCACTATATTACTTTTTTTAGTAGTTAAAAGATAATGTGGTTAGGATTACAATAAAAGTTTGTGTTTTACTTATATTAGGCCTAGTAAACGATTAAAAAAGATTTTGAGGTCATCATATATAAGTTGTTGATAAAAATAGTATCGTATGATTGATTAGTATGATTATAAATATCACTTTTATGCTGATCCAATCTTATAAAAATACAAGAGAAAGTGAATAAGATATTATTCAAGACTTAAGAGATATAATAGTAACTTTCTATATGTAAACCTTATGTGTATATATGTATAAGGGTAAATATTGAGAGGTGTGATAATGAATTAAATATATGAATAAGATATTATGCTATGAGTATTTGTGTTTTACTTTAAAGAACTTTTGAGTTATAATAAGATGAATCATTATGATGCTTTTTTGAGAGTTATTTATGTGTTTTGAGAAATCTAATTAGTGACTTAGTAAAGTAAAATCAAAGTTATACTCGGTTATTTGAAAAGTCTAAGTAGTGGTTAAGTAATGGTTTAATATGAAAATCCATGTGAAAATTCAAGTTATGATTGTCATTTGAGAGTTATGCATTTGTTTGTTATGCATCTATGTGTACATACTTCATCCACTCATACTTTCTTAAGAGTGGATGTGATCTACGAAATGTCTCTATGTTTTTTACCTTGGCGGATTCTAAAGTAGGAGACTTCTTGTCTGAGTAAGATGAGAATGAATTCATAGGGTCATTGTGATTTGGTGTATGTATTCCTAAACCACTTCCAAAACATGTGAGTTGTGTGCTACTACATACAAAGATAAAAGCATAAGAGTGATAAATATATTTTATCAATATTTTTACTAATATAATTATTATATTATTATATAATTAATTAATTAATTATTAACATAATTTTAGTAAAAAGGAAATAAATGGTTTTGTATAAATTTATTGTTTAATTCTTACATTTTAACTAATTACTTATACTTTGGTGCATGAATGATAAAGTAAAAAGAAAAGAAGAAAATTATTGAAAATTTTTCTCAATGTAGAGTAATTTTGCTATGTGAATTACAGATCAGAGAGTTAAGTTCAAATTTTACTAATTCTCCTAGTGAGACAAATTTTCACTAAGCGAATGTGACAACCCTGATTAATTAACTTAACTACCGATTTTGTTGAATGAGCAAAGTATTCCCTTAGTGAATCTATCACATAACTCATATGTGTAGAATTGCGATTCAAGTTATAATTGATGTACTTTATTAATTATAGGTCTTACACTATTCAATTATACCCATTATTGTATATAAAGGCTTAGAAAAACCAAAACACGTAAATTATGTTTCACTTTTAGATTTTCTAGATCTAGAAAAAAGTTTTCTCTTTTTTTTTTTTTTTTTTTTTTTATCTTATGTTCTTAGTGAAGCTTCTCTTATCTGAACTCTATGCATCTTGTACGAATTATTTCTTGAAGTTTGTTAATTCTAGATTTGTTTTCTCTTTTCTATATATTTCATTTAATTTTTGTATTCCTCTTCTTCTTTTCTTGATTTTGAGCAAAATTTTGGTTTTCTTTACTATTTTTCATTGTTTTGTTATTCTTACCTTTATCAATGCAATGGTAATTCATTTTAAAAGTTGATTCACTTGTTAAAACTTATTTTTTATGATTTATATTTGATTCTTCACTATTTTACCATTTATAATCTATTAGAACCAATGTAATTGAAATTATTTGATTAAATATCTCAATTTGTATATGAATTCAATTTCTAGGTTTAAGTGATTGTTTGATTTAAAAATTTAAGAGATTAAATGTTTTATTAATTCAATTGAATAATAAATGTTTAGAACTTTTATGGATCTAACTTATGATTATAAGTAGGTTTAGAAATCAATCACAATCATATCAACAAATTTATGATTAGAAAATCCCACATAATTTCTTAGTTTAACTAGTAGACTTTGTTTTGTTAGTTTTACTTCTTCTTTTTTTTCTTTTCTTTTTTATATAATTTTACATGCTTTAGTAGAATAGATTTACCGCATTTTATTTACCATTCATGTCATTCACTTTTATGCACATATTTAATTGCTTTTCCTAGGTTAAGTTTAGTGCTTGTCATGTAAGTTTATTGTTTTCAATTTACTATTCTTACACTAAAACAAATAAAATTCCCCCTTTTCCTAACTTTTAACATTTAATCAAAATTTATAACATAACTATTAATCATCCTTAAGGACATGTGCATGATAAAAAAAAATCAAATATTAAATTAATTTATGATTGAATATATGTTGATTTCATAAAATTAAATTAGGTACTCTCGTTATTTTTAATATAGTATTATAGCCAATTATAGTAATATTAGGATATAAAAAATCTCTCTCAATATAAAAGAGTTTGTAAAATCTTACGTCAACTAAAAATATTAGTATTAATGTAAATCTTGTAAAAGATAAATAAAAAATATATTAAATACTTTTTATCAAACATATATTAAACACCTTCGAAAACTTAACAAAATTTGATTTATTAACAAGTAGGTTTATTTAAATAATTTAAAACTATTAAATATATAGGATCTAATTATATATTTTTAAACATCTAATAATCATACAGTCTTATTAAAAACTATGCATAGTTTAAATTATATGAAGCGGATGTTATTTTCTTTAACCTTGAAATTATATATATAACGAAATTATATTTACCAAACCGACTTTCAGAGTTCGGAAAAACTCCTGGATATATACTCCTAAAATATAAAATTAAATTTATTTATTTTTATTTAAACTAGAAAAATGAATTATTTTAAATAATTTTTACATCAATTTTCGTATTTTCAGAAGATTTCTATCTTCTATCCCTTCTACTTGTATGAGAAGTAATTTTTAAAAATAAATTTATTTAAACATGTTAAAAAATATAATAAATGGTTATTTTATTAAAAAAAAACTTCTTTTATAAAAAAAATAGACAAACAAACTCATTAATATACACATAAAGTAATTTATAACAATATTAATTTCTCTGCTTTTTAACTCATTCATAAATAATAATTTAGCTTTATTTTTTTATTTTTTAAATAGAATTTTAATATTATTTTCATATTACCCTTGCAACTTCATATTACCATCGTTCATTTGGTTGAGAAGAAATTGAAAAAGAAAATTAGGTTTTAATCTGAATTCAATATTTAGAATCGAATTTTGATTTTATTTTTTTTTTAAATTGATTCAGCCTAGTTCAGAATCTCCAAATTTTTTTACATGTAAGCTAATAACCGAGATAGGTTCAACAATGTCCTCCTGTGAGCAAGGCGCGAAGCCCCTGTTTCTGCCCAAACAAGCAATTGCGAGTGAGTGAGTTACAGCAGAACAGAGATTAAGAGAAGCGCATACATGGCCAATTTGGAAGTCTGAGTTTCATTGCCCAACTTCGAGCGAGGATGCGCCATTTCCTCAAACTCTTTAACCCCTTCCACCCACGCGTTTGGCTGCATCCTCGCTATGCTTCCTCGCTTGCGCTTCTGCACCCTCCATTTTCTATCCACCCAAACCCGGCCCTATTCTCAAGGAATCTCGACCCATCTATTACTTATTCCTCTCCAGGTGAATGTGTGCGCTGATTATTTTATTGTTGAAATTGATAAATGAATAGTCTAATTTTTTTGTTTTTTATTTTTATTGTTATTTGTTAACATTAGAAGTTCTCGTCAGTCATTATTATACGTGCATTTTAAATTTTTAAGAAAAAAAATTATACTTTACGTCGCTGTTTGTTGTATTACGTGTTTTGAAAGTAGTGCCAACAGTTGATTTCCCCCCAACACGTGTTTACCTTATAGTAGAAGATTTTCATAAAGATGGTGTCATCTTATGATGAGTGTTACTGATTTTAAGTCAATTCAACTGTAATTAGGTCTAGTATTTGTAGGTTTGTTGATTTCAGCATGGTTATTTGTGTTTATTAAAGTTCAGCATATTTTTTTCATGTTTTTGTATGAAGGATTCTTGTTTGGTGTTTCTGATTATGCCAGTTTTTTATGCGTAATAATGAAAAGTAGTGCACAGACCCACTTGCCTTCTGGTGAAATTCAACCTTTTCTTAGAAGAATCGGGTGATAAGAATGAAACTCTAGATCACTGGGTTATAGAGGTTCTTAGTCTGATGTCATGTTATGAACCAATACCCCAAAAGATTAAGCTGTTAAATAAGGAGACCTGAATGGTTTTATATCGTATTTCTGACGAGTATATTTACAGGAACTGCCACTGAGTTGATCCAGCAAGCGAAACGTAAACAGCTAGCTCCAACTGCCTATTTTGTTCATAATATGCTTGAAGTTAACTCTGAACTGAAGCAATTAGTGAAACAGGGACAACTTTGTAAAGCTAGGAATATGTTTGAGAAAATTGATCACAGAGATGAGGTTTCGTGGACTACATTACTAGGTGGTTATGTCAATGCCTCAGATCCATATGAAGCGTTGTTCTTGTTCTCAAATATGTGGGTCCAACCTGGACTTCAAAGGGACCAATTCATGATTAGTGTTGCACTCAAGGCTTGTGGACTTGGTCTCCATATTTGTCTTGGTGAATTATTACATGGATTTTCAGTGAAATCTGGTTTGATAAACTCAGTGTTTGTCAGCAGTGCCCTAATAGATATGTACATGAAAGTAGGCAAAATAGAACAAGGCTGCAGAGTCTTCGAAAAAATGACGGTAAAAAATGTGGTGTCATGGACTGCCATTATTGCGGGGCTTGTACATGCTGGTTACAATATGGAGGGATTGTTGTACTTTTCTGAAATGTGGAGATCAAAAGTAGGCTATGATTCACATACGTTTGCCATTGCTCTAAAAGCATCTGCTGATTCAAGTTTGTTACATCATGGGAAAGCAATACACACACAAACAATAAAACAAGGATTTGATGAGAGCTCATTTGTGATTAATACTCTGGCAACCATGTATAACAAATGTGGAAAACCAGACTATGTCTTGCGATTGTTTGAAAAAATGAGGATGCCAGATGTAGTTTCATGGACAACCCTTATTACGACTTATGTACAGATGGGTGAAGAAGAACATGCAGTGAAAGTATTTAAAAGAATGAGAAAATCAGATGTCAGTCCTAATAAATTCACTTTTGCAGCCATAATTTCTGCCTGTGCAAATCTTGCTATTGCTACATGGGGGGAACAGATACATGGCCATGTATTGCGTCTAGGTTTGGTTGATGCTTTGTCAGTGTCAAATTCCATCATTACTCTTTATTCAAAATGTGGGATGTTGACTTCAGCTTCATTAGTGTTTCATGGTATAACTAGAAAAGATATTATATCTTGGAGCACTATAATTGCTGTTTATTCTCAAGGAGGTTATGCAAAAGAAGCTTTTGACTATCTGTCATGGATGAGAATGGAAGGGCCAAGACCAAATGAATTTGCTATTTCTAGCATACTGAGTGTTTGTGGGAGCATGGCACTTCTTGAGCAAGGGAAGCAGCTGCATGCTCATGTACTGTGCATTGGCCTAGATCATGAAGCCATGGTTCATAGTGCTCTTATTAGTATGTATTCAAAATGCGGAAGTGTACAAGAAGCATCAAAAATCTTTAACGGTATGAAAATGAATGACATTATATCATGGACAGCCATGATTAATGGATACGCCGAACATGGTTATAGCCAAGAGGCTATTAACTTGTTTGAGAAGATTTCCAGTGTTGGTTTAATGCCAGACTATGTGACATTCATCGGGGTTCTGACAGCATGTAGCCATGCTGGAATGGTTGATCTTGGTTTCTACTATTTTCTGAAAATGACTAATGAGTACCAGATCAGTCCTTCAAAAGAACATTATGGTTGCATCATTGATCTTCTCTGCAGAGCAGGGCAATTGAGTGAAGCTGAGCACATCATACGAAGTATGCCATTCCATACTGATGACGTTGTGTGGTCTACCTTACTTAGAGCATGCAGAGAGAATGGGGATGTTGACCGTGGAAGATGGACAGCTGAACAGTTGCTTCGGTTGGATCCAAATTCAGCTGGAACTCATATTACTCTGGCTAACATATATGCTGCCAAGGGGAGATGGAAGGAAGTTTCAGATATAAGAAAGTTAATGAAGTCAAAGGGAGTAATAAAGGAACGAGGATGGTCTTGGATTAATGTCAATGATCAATTAAATACTTTTGTTGCTGGAGATCAGGCTCATCCACATAGTGAACATATAACGACCATTCTGGAGTTATTGAGTGCAAATATAGGAGATGCTAGGCAGGAAATAAGATTTCTTCATGAAGATGTTGAGGATTAGCAGAAGGATACATTCTGCCTTATTATGGGAATGGTCAAAAATAGTTTCTTCTAAGTTTCCATGTTTCTTTGATTTCAAATGATTATTGGGAATTGGTTTCCCTGTTCCAATCATTTGAACATCTAGTTTGATATGGGTTCTCCAAAATCTTAGTTAGACATTATTCAGAAGATTGCAAGCACTTCTTGACAACGCAAATTGATAAAAAGTTAATTTTATGGAAAACACAGTATTTGATGCAGATGAGTTCAGCATTACAGCACTTATTGGATCTGGAATTGAGGCCAGGCTTGCCATTCCCAATAAGCAGCTTGCTGAAATTAATGACTGTGTTCATGTATTGCAGTGTGTAAGGAAGAACGTCACTTTCTACAACTTCAACAGGGAGCCTAACATTGGGTATGTAGCAGTTGGAAGTGAGCCATTTTTTAAATCCGACAACAATTTATTCTTAACTGCCACCCTCCCTGCATTACGAAACATTCAACATGTTCTTAATAATGTTGGTCTAGCAGACTGCATAGAGGCTACAGTGCCTTTAAATGCTTATGTATATGAGTTGCTTCTAAATGTTGCGCCTGTCCCAGTGTTCCATTTATTAGATATGACAACTTATTTCATCTACTATGACTGAAGTCAGAGTAGTGTGTTACAGGGTGTTGGTTTTGCATCTTCAATTTTTTTTTTATGCCAATGAGTTATATTGACGGTTCAAGTGATGAAGAATCAAGAAGTCCCATATTGGAGAGCAGTCTTCTGTCCTTCTTCTCGTTTAATATCATAAATGTGCTGTGGATGAGGACTACTTTACCATCGACAATAACAAGTCTTCAGATTCAGATTCTTTATTCAAAAAAGTCCTGATTTTTCTGACAACCATTACTGCAAAGCCTTAGAGCGTGAAATTGATAGTTAATTGGTTTGTGTCAATATTGAAGGAAATTGTTCGGTTCTGGAGTATGGTTTGGTATGAATTGATGTGGATAAATTGTTAATGCCAAAAAGTGGAAATCATTTTGTTTCCCTTATGATATCAGTATCTATTGTGCTGATTGTATGTCCTTGTGTACATGATTTACTGATACCAACTACTGTTATTGTGGCAAAAGAGGGGTTGTGGCTAACAAAGTTGCTTTCATGTTATGGAAGCATAGAAATTATTGTTTGTCATGACTAGAGGGATCTTGGTTGACCTGACACTATCATCCATGATTTGTGAAGAAAAATATCTTCATGATGCAATAGAAGTTTCAGAATTTATTTTATCATGTAGTAACTGATTTCAGCCTTGGGGGACAAGTCTGTTCTTCCAGCAGCATGTAGTGATAAGATATTGGGTTTGGGCATAAGCCCAAGAGAATATGTTAAAATTGCTGATGTGGCCAATTGTTAGAGGAGGCAACACATATGTAGAGAGAGGTTATGCTTGGTGGTGAAATCATTTGATATCTTTTCCGTTAGAAACCTTATGGGTTGGTCATAGAGTGCTGTTTTCTCTGAGAAGCTTTGCTTTGCAAATGTATTATTTTTTTATCTATCAGCACTCTAGTTGATCCAACTCTTTTTGCAGGGCTTATTAGGGCATCACAAAAAGAAGTTTTTAGTAAGAGTTAATTGAGAATAAATATGAATATTTTATTATAGGTTCTACACATGAGTTGTTTAAAATTTTATCAGAATTGTTTATATAATCAACTTTCTTTCTTCTAATTTTAAGTAATTTTTTTAATTTTAAACAACTTAAATGAGAGATTTATAATAAAATATTTATTTTTATTCTTAAATAATTCTTATAGGAGGTGCTTTTAGAGTTCAGTATACTCTTGACTTTTTGCCGGGGTTATGAAGAGTCTTTTAGTTTGTTATGTAGTTAATTAAGTTGTGTTAGTTTATTACATTAGTCTAGTTAGTTATGGTTTTGTTAAGGTCAAATATCTTCCATAAATAGTTCTATCCTTTCTCATTGTAAGCAACTTTTCAGAAATACAATTTTCTCAGTTTACATCTATCTTTCCTTTTCTGTTTTTCTAATATGGCTGGTCAGTATCAATTGTACGGATGAGTGTAATTTCTCTAGATTCTAGCCTAAGGATCAACCTATTTCAAGCATTGCTCTGGGAATAGCTTATCAATGGGCTTAGGAAACTGCCTTTAAGATCACTTATTTATAGTTGCTGACCACAGCCACAAGCCAGCAACCCAGCCCAGATTCAGCTGTAATGGGATTTTTTGCTGTGTCTCTATAACCCTACAAAAAGGGAACACATGTGAAAAGCAAAATGACAGGAATAGGAATTTATCACTATTTATTACTAATGTCTGCCGAAATATCTGTATGAAATAAGGATACTGCTGACTGGAAAATGGATTGAATCTATGAATTATCAATTCTATGACTTGGGAAGAGAGTATATATACTCCAGCAAATGGTCGGAAAGGGGTTGACTATTTGACTAATTTTAGCCTTAACCCATCTTTTTGTTGATTATATACTATCTTAATCGGTTCATGCAAAGAGTAGTTTCATAGCAAAATTGATTTCAAATGGCATTATTATAACCAAGTCGTGGAACTTGGGCACTTCACTTGTCATATTTACTCATAGAAGAACATTGTTGTCTAACAAGTATGCATGCTACCCAATAAAGTAGCTTCGCATATGAACATTGATAAATCTAACAGCTTTTAGTATCATGTCTTCTTGCATTCAACGTTTCATTTCCGTGCTTTGATCCTGGCATTAACTTTCCTCAAATGGTTGTTACTTTGTGATCCTCTCATATTCTATACTTACCTACCTTCACTTTGCCTGTTTATTTCTTACTTATCTTACCTTTTTCAATAGTAAATATGCATGCAAAGATAAAACTGCTGTTGGATCAAGCGAGTTGATCGTGGCACCCTTAAGCAAAGATTAGAATGGCATAATAACTCAAATTGTTGGAGTGTATAGTATGATAGTTTGGCACCCTTAAGCAACGACAATTCTCAATTACATTTCATAATTATATGAAAGCTTGTTTTATATATATATGCATTATTTAATTATCATGTATATCCACTACAATTCTCAATAATATGCTATAACTTTTGTAGGTTTTAGATTAAACAACCAACAAGTTGACTAACTTCTCCATAAACTTTTTTATAAAATAAATTTAAGTTAAAATTAGTTCACTCATTATTTAAAGTAAAAATTTATAAAAAAATATTATAAGGAAACTTTTATAAATTAATTTACAAAAAGGAATTATAGATACTAATTTTAATTTATAGAATAGTTCATTTAATTTATTTTTATTTTTCGCTTTTAGAAACTTGTTCAAACTTCTCTAAAGATTATAAAATTACATCTGAAATATAAGAAAAGGAGAAGTTTAAATAATTCAAAAAAAAATTTACAATGTTTTGAATAAAACAAATACTTTATGATTTGATAGTTAAATAGATAATTTGATCGTCTTATCATTTAATACTTAATTGTTTTTCATATTTAAATTGAAAAAAAGAGAGTAAATATTAGTATTAAAAAATGCAAAAATAAATATTTATTGTATATTAATTCACTTAATTTTGGTTCAAAACTGTAAATAAAACACTTGAATTTAACTATAATCAATTAAAATAAGTATTTTTTTTAATGGTTCTAATAGAATATTTTCAAACAAAACATCTTTGTCAAAGTTAAAAATTATTCTTTCCCATGAAGTCACTTCTATTTTCTTAAGTTTTATAAAATCTCTTCAAACAAATAAACAAATATTTGTACCAAATATAAAAAATAATTCTCCTCAAGAGAATATAAATATAAATTATTAAACTAAAGTGATAATTTCACTTAATAAAAATTATGCAAACTTAATCTTATTAGAATAAGATATTCTTTATTAAAATAATTTTAGTGAGTGTTCTTTAATCTTTATTAGGAATGGTAAAACGGTTTATCTGTCCTAATTTGTCTTGCCTCGTCTTTATTCCGTCAAAAATAGTACGGGACGAGCTGATCTACCATAATCAGAATGAATTACAAATCCCAGTCCACCTCGCTAAAGATGGGCTAACAAGCGAGCTGATCAATTTATCAATAATTTTTTATATATTTTTTTTATAATAATATATTTTTAATTATATGAATAATTTTAAGTTTTTATTTATTTATTAATTAATATTTTATTAAAAAATTATAAATTTTATTATATTTATGTACTAAAATAATTAATTATAATCAATAATTTAAACTCAATTGATTAATTTTTATAATTTAAATTATAATATTATGATATATTTACATATTTTAATAATATAACACAAATAATTACAAATTTTTTATTTTTATTTTAATATTTTTATTTTAAAATAGATAAGTTCATCTCATCCTTGACCTGGTTAAGTGGAACAAGACAAAACAGGATGGTGAACTCAAATTATTAATATATCCTACTATTTTTTTTAATGAGTTGATAGGTCAATTTATGATATCTAACTCATTTTGTTATCTAATAACTATAAATCACTTAAAATATCTTATAATTATTTCTCTTATTTAACTTCACCCTTAACTTCCTAATTATCGTAGTCTCCATATCTTACCATTGTTGCATGCTCACTTTTATTCATGAATGCTTTGTCACAAATATTGTTTTGCAAAACATTTTATGCATCTAATATAATTTTTCTATTTGGAACACTTTCACACCATTTCAGCTGATGCATTTATATGTTTATATCTTTAGAAAAAAATTGTTTAACTATTATTTGAAAATTTTGGTTTTCCTTTTTCAATTAAATAAATTATTATTAATAATTTAAATAAATTATATTTTTATGTAAATATTAATATATTTAATAAATTTATATTTTAGTAAATAAATATTGTAAATTATAATATATGTATGTAATAACTTATATTATGTAAAATTTATAAATTAAATAATTAATTTAATTAGTTAATATTTAAATTAAATATTTAATTAAAATGAAACATTTCATAATAAGTTAAAATATTAATTTTAATTATGAATAATATGATTTATAATTACTTTATTTTTTTTAAATTATACCACTTCAATTGAAAGTTTAAGATAAAAATTATAAATTTATTTTCATTTTACGTTATTTGTTTTTTATTTAAATATATTCTTATTTTTATTGCAAATATTAAATTTTGATTTAATTTTTTATTAGGTAAATTATTAAAAAGCATTTATCAAGTTAAAAAAAATTAAAATATCATTATTTATTTTAGTTTAGTACTTTGTTATTTGTTAATTAAATTTTCTCTTCTGACACCTACAATTTTTTTTTTTATGTTGTAATGATTTTTATTCAAAATGTAAACACCAATACTAAATTCTTCTAACTCCAACTCAAAATTTGTTAGTTCTTTTTAAAAGATGTTCATCATGATGATCATGCTTCTTTATGAGCCTATGTTAGTTTATTAAAAAAAGAAACAAAAATATGTGCAAATAAGACATAATCTTATAATTTTTGTTAAAACTTTTAAAAGCTCATTTTCAAGAATAAAAACCTATTTATTGAAGATTTAAGAAAATGGAATTGGTGTGTCGTTAAATATCAAGATGAATATTTGATTGAATTGAAATCAATGGATGAAATAGTTAAAAATAAATTGAAACTTAAACATTTATCCTTACTAACTGAAAATAAATATGAGAATACTTTGTTAAAATAAAGAAAAAACAAACTTAGAAAATAGATACAATCTTATGCTAAAATATTTTATTCTTCTAGGTTGTCTAATCATCCTTGCAAGAAGTCCTTCTTATGTGAATCCATACTTATTTACTATAAATTATAATTTTAATGATTTTCTTCCCGAGTAGATATAATATTTTAAAGATAACATTCTTACAACAAGAGTAAGTACATATTAAGAGGTTATTCAAACCAATTAAATTAATTTGAAACAAAAGAGGAATTAACATAGTCTTCAATGGAAGGATAGATTCTCAAATTCTATACTTTTAAAAGTTACTTATACTTCTAATAAAATAAAAAATAAGCATTATATAACTCATAAAATGATTGAAGTTATTACATAATGTTATGCAAATTATAACAGATAATGTTCTTGTATGCAAATATGTTGGAATGATTAGTGAAATTTCATTTCCTAAAAGTTTGTTGGACACCTTGTGTTGTAAATATGTTGAATCTTGCTTTGAAGAACATATGTGTAACAAAAAGTACAAAAATAAATAATATCATTTATAGTGAAGTTAGTTAGATTAATGAAATTGCTATTGATATTTCTTTCATGGAAAACTTTATCAATACCATAGCATGAGTTTGGTCATTTTTAATCATTTCTCACATTTGAAATTGTTTGTTGATGTAGATATACATTATGCATCCCTTATAATGATGATTAGAAAAATTAATTTTTTGAGACATTCTTTGCAATTCATGGTTAGTAGTGAGTAATAGAATTCTTATAAAGATCATGTGGGCAAGATTCAAGGTATAAAATACTTTGCTGATGTATGGTGGCACAAAATTATATATATTTTTGTTTTTACTAAGTCTATCTATAACATACTCACACTTGGTGATATAAAGAACCTTACACTTCATTTTGTTTATGAGATGTAGGGTAGTAATAGAAAATATGAAGGAAATCATATATAGGCAAGAAGAGAAAGAGAAAAATAATATATCAATATTTTATGAAATTATTTATAATATACTAATTGATAGGCGGAATAAAAGTTGTATTCTTGTCCATTGCATGACTCACTCTTTAAATCCTAATAAAATTATAATATCAAAAGTCATTTTTTTATAATTTATATATAAAAGTAAAAGTTTTTTTTTATTTTTAATTATATATATTACAATGAAGAATAAATTCAAAAGACTCTAAATACAATCTCACCACATGAGGATTAAGTGTTTGAAAAATGTTTTACAACTAGTGAAGATATAAGAAAAATTACACTTGAAAATGTTGAATTCTCATGAAAATCAAATAATTTTACTTCTTTTGACTTCTGAGAAAATAGGTGAACATCAAATCTTAAGTCTTTGTGAATGATGCATGATTCTAGTGTCTCTCTTCTTCAAAAGTTAGCATTAAAACTTATACAACCTTATTTATCATCTTAACAGGAAAGAGATTCAAAAACTTATTCATTCACTTACTCATTGAAAATAAATTAAATCCTAAAATAATAGAAAACTCGATTTATGTGCATATTAGTTTGTAATTTCTAATTATTCAAAACAAAGAATATAACCAAGTGAGATGAGTAGTAATATTCATATCTTTGCATCATATATGAGAGACAATCATTGTAAAGAGCATCATAAATGAGAGACAATCATTGTAAAGATGATATGACTGTTCCTATCTCTTACTCATAGTGGTTGACATGATGTTGGTCTATGTAAACTATGGTAGACATTTTGAAACTTGTGTAAATGATGATTGGCTTTCTTCTATTCAGCATTTTGATAAATCTTATATCCGGTTAATTATAAGACATTTTGGACTATCATTGTAACTTCCTGAGCTTAACATCATACATCTATTTTTCTTAGATGTTCTAAGTCATTTTTGTTATGCTCTCATAAGATTCAACTCATCGTAGACATTTTGGTTCAATCAGATTATATACATATAGCCATTCAGCTAATGCCACTCCAAGAAAAGAATTTGGGGGCAAGTATGTTCAGGAATAATAAGTTCATACACTTGGATAAGATACTATAGTTCAAGTGCTGACAGAACAAGTTGTATGAACAGATAGGACATTCACACACATCTATAACAAAAATATACTAACATTACAACAAGCATATACTGCATATAATTCTAGTCCCAAGAGCACCAATATCCATTTTACCAAAAATATATCTTCATCTTGCAAACTGCATATAATTCAAGTCACAATCACCACCAATATCTATTTTGCCAAAAGATATCCTCATCTTGCATTTGGCTCAGGGAGCCCTGCTCTACACCGTATCTGCTCTAGCAACCTAGTTAGCTGCAAATGCTTTGCAGCCCATTGTTCTGCCAACTTTAGCTCCTTGTTTTCAGCATCTCTCCTCAATGCGGCTAACTCTTCTCTGTATTCTGCTTCAATTCTGCCCAAAGCAGCTCTCTCCTCTTCCTGAAGAGCCTTAATCTTTGCTTCAAACTCTTCTGTCTTCTCCCTTTTTCGGCTCACCTTTTCTGACTCCAACTGCAACTCCACCCGACTTAACCTCCAAGCTGCCTCCTTCTTGTGTGCAGACAAAGCACGATGCCCCTCTTCCAACTCTTCGCAGTGCTCCACCATCTGAGATATCAACATATTTTCACTAAAAGCTGGTATGTTCCCCAAAACTAAAGGAGCATTGTCTGGTACTCTATCATGTTGCAACCACGCTGTTGAGGAAGAAAGACTTAGTGTCACAGAAAGGGAACTTGGGCCACCAGCAGCAGCAGCACTACTAGAATTGGAAAGCCAAGAAGGAAGCAAGGCTGATGCAGGTGTTGGTGTGTCAGGACGCAGAAATGCTCCATCAGAAGCAGCCATTACAAATGATGGTGAAGGATGTTGTTCCTTTACCAGTTTTTCTGCAAAACTCTCAAGTATGTGTTCGTACTTGCTGTTAATCGGGTCAGGGATTCTATTGATCTCCTTCTTCTCTCTTTGTTGCTTCTCTTTGAACACTTCCCACCACTTGCCTAACCTCTTGGCAGTTCTACCTGGAACTTCTGCTGCAATTTTCTTCCATTTGTTACCGTATTTTGCTTGAAGCCAGATTACGAGGCGCTGCTCCTCTTCTGTAAGAGACCCTTTCTTGATGCCAGGCTTGAGATAGTTTTTCCACCTTTCTAAGCATGACTTTGCATCTCTGTTGAGAGGGGTGTTCATGCGCTGAGACACAAGATTCCATTCCCTAGGACCATATTGTTTGACATAAGAACGTAATAAAGCATCCTCTTCAGCTCTCCAACGTTGCCTCTCCTTCATTTCCATGTAAAAATCCCACAGCCCATGTCTTGTATCTCAAACACATCGTGTCTCTGGAACAATTATGACAACTCATATCAATTAACTAGGTGGGAAACAAAAGAAATATCAAACAGGAAACAGATGATTTCGTAAAATCTTCAAGCATATCAACTACTGAATCAAAATATCTCTAGTTGTTGCACAAAAGATAGCTATGTAGCAAAAACCTTGTAGGGGTCTGCATTAAGAACTGACTTATAGGAGCACCAAGCACCAATTTATCTCAAGCAGCAATAAGAATAACACAAGATGAACTTCTATACATTATTTTATCCATTACAAATTTAAAAGGAAGACAAAAATCTACCAACAGAAACAAATATAGAGGCATAACATATTTTCTCACAAAGGAAATAGCATTCCTGCGATGCAATAGACCATAACATATTAAGAATCAGAGTCCATATGACAATGCCAAACATACGGCAGAAAATTTTGTTTACATTGGTTTCACTTGAAGGATCTAGAATTAACTGTACAGTGAAACAGAAAATCAACTAACCAGCATGAAAAATATTTAGCAAGAGAAAATAAACATGGAAAGAACATATAAAAACTCGAGGATCAATAACTTCAATGCAGCTAGCTACGTACCCAAAAATGAAATATAATCACCATCTAGCTGCAAGTGTTATAATAGTCAAAATAGATTAACGAATGTAATATATATCTTTGTATAATTTCAGAAGTCAAGTTACGTATATTAGTTTCAATTAGACAACAAGAATAAGAAGACCAAATGGAATTGGCTACCTGGATCAATTTCTGGCCTTCATTAGTAAGCAAACAGCAATATGTAACACAACACCTCCCAATACCTAGAAGTTCCTTTGAGTTACGGAAATTTAAAATTATGAGTGTCAATTGAAATATAGGATTTTTATTAATTAGTTCATACATTTCTCAAGCAACATGATAAAGAATCATGAACTAAAATCACCACTCTGAATAATTGATATCATAAAGAAAATTCAAGTGATTAGATGAATAATCATACATTAAAATTAAACATTAGCACTGAGAAGTGCAAAGATTAATTTTAGTTAAATTAACTTCAAAAACCCACAGAGGAAAAATAGAAGCATAAGAATTCAGTGAGAGTAAGCTGAGTGAAAAGCATATCATCCCCCACTACAATTGTGTTGCAAGTGGACACCCAGATAATGGATGACCATAACTGCAATAATAAAAAGAGAAAACATAAAAAACATGTGTGCAAATGCATCAGCTTCGAAATCAAGCATTCCAGAAAACAATGAGAAAACAGTCAACCAAAATCCCATTTTTAAATGAAATATATAATTAAATAAACCCTGCTGCCGGAATTTTTTATCCATCACCAAGCGCGTGTTCGATTTAGCTTATATAAGAACAGTGAGTTCATTGAAAAGTGAGGCAGCGAATGAAGGAACAAACATTGGAGATAGCAATAAAAAAGGAATCTTTTTTCAGAGAATGGAGAAAGTGGAGCATACCCAGATGGTGAAAGGCAAAGGAGAATAAGTGGGAAAAGAGAGAGTTGAAGGGGGGAGTAGTCAGCAGCATGTTGTAGGGAATGAAACTGCGGCGTTAAGAGAGGAGGGAAGAAGGAGGAGCAGTGGGAATGGCATGTTGAGGATGAAGCTGATGATAGGATGAGTGAGAGAGAAAGAGGGAGTGGGGGTGGTGGGGGAGAAGACAGAGCACTGAAATGGAGCAGAGAGAGAATGAGAATAGACAAGACAGGCAGGGAAGAGAGAGAAAATGGGGACAGGTGTGTACGTCGGTTTCAGCGCTTCATATGCAAGAAAGATGGCACGCGAATGATAAGGGAGGGAACCAAGCCCAACCCAAACCATTGCAATATATATATATATATATATATATATATATATATATATATATATATATATATATATATATATATATATATATATATATATATATATATAGTGTTTTATTTTTCATTTACTATATTATGTAAGTTTATTTTCTCATCTTTTAATTATTTTTTTATATATAAAAATTATATTAATTATTTATTAAAATAATCTTTTATAAATTATAATATATTATGTTGTTATTGAAACAGCGGAGATAAGAGTGTGAGATTGAATAAGAGTTATATTTTAATATATTCATGAATTTTATACCATTCAATAATTAAGATTAAAATAATTTATATACTTTTCTTTTATTTAAGTTCTCAAATATATTATTTAAAGATAAAATTTTAATAAATAAAAACTCAAAAACACATAATATAAAAATTAACTTTAATAATATTATTAGTGAGATAGTAGCTGTGTTTTAGATTGTGATAATAATTATAATTAAAATTTTAATTATTATTTTAAATTTTATTATTATTTAAATATATTTGTCATATCAGTATTATTTTTATTTTTAACACTTTATTTTTGTCATTTTTATAAGAGTGGTAATAAAATAAATTTTTAAATATATAAATTATAATAACTATTTTTTATATTATTATTTCTTTTATAAATTATAATATTTTTTTCTCAAATAAAAAACAGTTATATAAAAAATTGTCATTTATATATTATATATAGTATTTATACAAATATATATTATATATTTAATTTAATTTAAATTTTATTATATTAAATAATAAATAAATTTAAGACAATATGATTTTATAATTTAAATTTTAAACATGAGCCTGAAAAAATGATTAATATCTAAAAACTGAATAATACAAACTAACTAATAATAATATACATTTATAAACAAACAGTGACAAATACAATTTTATAAAAAAAGTTAAAAAATATTACAAAAAAAATATTAACTTAAATTGAATCACCATTCTTTTATAATATTTTATTAATACAGAAAATTCATCAACTTTATTGATAATTATATTTTTTTTAAAATATAACAGATTATTTTTAGGGAAAAGTTCCATTGTACTTAACTTTTTTTATCCAGAATTTGGAAAAGCTTATTTCAGAAAATCTATTTGGAATAACAAATAGTTGATATAAGTATCACTTTCTGTTGAAAATTTTGGTTGTTTTTGATGTTTGAGAGACTTAGGTTCTAACCAAATTTTAACCATGCAAATTTTTTTATTTAGGTTAGCAAACAGTTTTTCAATCAAAACATGTATGTAAATCGAAAATGTCACATTATCGAACCAAATGGAAAATAAAGCATGCATATTAAAAATGCGGAAAACGCAACATAGTATACGTATCGAAATAAAAAAAGTACCCATTTTGTATTTTTTTTATATTAAAAGACTCGAGCAAATGAAATTTAACAGAAAGTGACGCATAAAATTAAATTGCACTAAGAGTAAATGACATGAATTAAAGTGCATAAAAGTAATCGACAATACTGGAAAGTAAATTAAACGTGCGAGTAAATAAATTACAGAGAAAGTAAAGAAAGCATTAAATGCATAATCTTAAACTGGCAAAAATGTAAGTGCAAAATCTTTAAATTGCATAAGTGTAAATGCAGAATCTTAAATTGCATTAAAAGTAAAGTACTAGAGAAAGTAAAGAAAGCGGTAACAAAACTCAATGAAAATGGAAATCCAGATCACCAGAAACTTCATGATTTGTCGTTCTCCAGTAGATTTTTCACTTGTGTTTCTGTTGTATCTGTCAATTTCCCCTTCTTCTTCAAGTTTCGTTCTATTTATAGGCATCCTTCAATGTAACCTCCTAAGCGCAGTTAAAAAATTGTCGCCACGTTCCATGTGCACGTTCCTCGATTTTTACCTTAGCTTACGGTTTAGAAAACCGCTTTCACGTTCCATGTGCATTTTAACCGTTCCTCGATTTCTAACCTTAGCCACGATGAAAAAGCCACTCCTCATGTTCCATATGCATGATAATTGTTTCCCTCGATCTCGATTCCAGTTATCGAGTTCGATTTCCCTTAACCTTGACTTTACACTATACTTTATCATTACTCTCATCGATTTATTTCTCTCTTTTCTGGTTCTCGATTTCTATTCTCGATTTGTATGTTCATACTATCTCGTGGTCACCGGGTGTCTTCCAACCATCTTTCTGATTTATCAACTTTTTAACCAATCGTATGATCTTCGATTTTCTCTCTTCTGTTTTTCGATTCTTGTATCGATTTTTCACTAACAAATGCCCCCTTGAAAGAATATAAATATTTGTATCAATTTTATATTCTTTCAAAAATAACTCTCGCCCTTAAACGTTCTTGAAGCTCGAAATAACTTTTTAGGGTTTAGGGTTTCTAGGGTTTTTAGGATTTTTTCTGCTTTATGTCAAATATCAAATCACATCACCTTTACCGTCACAACGTGCACGCCACGTATTGATTACCCTCTTCACATTCATCGTTTCAAATACCCTAGTCGGCCTCTTTAAATACTCTTATCAGTTTTTACCCTTGTTTTTTACCACGAACCTCACTTACTTCTTCTTCGTTGCACCTCTTCTTCGTCTTCAACCTTTCCACAAACTGTAATGGCGACTTCCAAATCCTCCGACTTCTCCACCCCACCACTTTCATCGGTAACTTCAACTCTGATAGAGATTAATGGAAAAAAGTTTGCTCCAGTCCCTTTGATGGAAGAGACTTCGCAGAAGATTGCCGAGACTCAGGTACTTATCCCTTACGCAGTTGATAATGTAGATTACGCATTTGGTGGTCCCATCCGCTATTGTGCTGGATCGTTTTCTTCTTCAATCTGTCTTCCTTCAGAAAGTAAAGCCCTTATTCATAAATCTGAGGTCCGGATTGATTTTCTAAATGCTATTTCAAAAGTATATCGAACGGGCCCTCCCCACAAAAAGTCTTTATACATCAGATGGTTTGATAGAGTAAAGACCAAGTTTGGGAATCACTGGAGAGATGTAGGGATTTTCGATTTTCTACATTTATCTCGATGCGATCTCTCATTCTTGGATATGTCTATGTTTTTATCTGCGGTCCATTTATGAAATAAAGATTTACACGCAATGGAGCTCCCTTGTGGTCCCCTTTCTCCCACTCTTTTTGAGGTCGCTGCGATCACCGGATTAAAGCCCACAAGGGGAAAATATTTTAAGAGCGCTTTCCCTTCGGATGACTCTCTCAAATCAAAAATCGATTGAGATTCGAAAGCCTATGGCCACTTCATCGAAAAACATTTCATTGATGATCAATCAATTTCTTCTTCAATCTCTCTTCCTTCAGAAAGTAAAGCGCTTATTCATAAATCTGAGGTCCGGATTGATTTTCTAAATGTTGTTTCAAAAGTATATCGAACGGGCCCTCCCCACAAAAAGCCTTTATACATCAGATGGTTTGATAGAGTAAAGACCAAGTTTGGGAATCACTGGAGAGATGTAGGGATTTTCGATTTTCTACATCTATCTCGATGCGATCTCTCGTTCTTGGATATGTCTATGTTTTTATTTGCGGTCCATTTATGGAATAAAGATTTAGACGCAATGGAACTCCCTTGTGGTCCCCTTTCTCCCACTCTTTTTGAGGTCGCTGCGATCACCGGATTAAAGCCCACAGGGGAAAAATATTTTAAGAGCGCTTTCCCTTCGGATGACTCTCTCAAATAAAAAATCGATTGGGATTCGAAAGCCTATGGCCACTTCATCGAAAAACATTTCATTGATGATCAATCGGTAGCTATTTTTGACGAAGAGCATGTTGCTTTTCTGGTATATTGGCTCTGTACCCATGTATTTTGTCCTCGATCCATCCAAATCTCATCCCATTTTTATAATCTGGCCTACCTCCTCCACACTGGTCAACCCAGGGTTTGTTTGGCGAAGCTTTTACTGGCCCATGTTTATACCACTTTTGATGAGGCTGTCGATATTCTGAATACACAAACACCCTCAGGGAATTTCTCAGGTCCCATCTGGTTCATTCAATTATGGCTTACTTCGATTTTTGAAAATATCATTCCCCCAACATCCAAAGTTTTCCCAAGTTTAAATTTAGAAGGTGCTCGATTATCGTCTCGACATTCTCATAAAAAATCCTCCGCTGAGGCTAGTTATCAAACTTACCTGAAATTTTTGTTAACTTGATTTCATTTGAGTCAAGTCTGGCCCCTTTTACCGTATATCATGGAAAAGTTAGTGACAGACTTCGAGGGCCAACCTGGTTTAAATCAAAATTCTCCGCTCTTACTCCAGGGTTACAATCGGAATTAGTAGATGTGTGGAGCAATTACTTGACCCAGGATGTTCTTGTATCGGGTTTTCAATTGAAGGATATCCAGCTCGTCATCTATTATCCCCAGCTTTTTTCGCGGAAGTTTGGTTTAAGTCAGGCTTTACCTTTTTTCTCTCTCGATACTTCCCCAAGGTCAAAATTAAATGAATCAAATGTTGGATGGGAACTTGCCAAACTGTTACCACAAAGCCCGATGCATTTCTATCCTTATGCTTTTGAGTTGAATTATTTGTCTACTCTTGGTTTTTCTCAATGGTGGACCGATTGGTTTTCACGCATTCATTCTAATTTTGATATCGTCCAATCGAAATTGACTGCGCATCCTTCTCTCGTGTTGCAGGATAAATCGAAGGCAAAAGAAAGGTACA